GATGCTATGGGCATCACACCTATTTCAGTGATATTTGTTATTTGAGACTTCAACACGAAGTTCCTTTTGCTCCGCCGTAAGCAGCTTCGGCACGAATTTCGCCGCCACTCTCTTTATAGCCAAATCTTCAGTCATAATGGAATGTGCCGAAAAAAGTGCTGATGCCCACCTCTTCCGCAATTTCTCGGATAGTCACACGACGGTCCCGCATCACCATAGCGTTCACTTTGGCAATGACCTGGTCATTTCGGCATTTTGATGGCCGACTGGAGCGTGGCTCACTCTCCACCGTTGTGCGGCCGTCTTTAAACCGGTTGTACCATTCCTTAATCTATTTGAAAGACTTTAACTTCCTGTTTGAATTCCCTTTTTTACACTTTATAGAAGTATTATATATATGTTCAGGATTTTACATGTCTGTCTTTCATTTTTTTTCTTGTATACATGTGTGGACATGTATTGTTTCTTAATAGTGTAGGCTAGTTTGGTGGACCAATATTCAAGAAACAGTACTTTGTCTACACTTTTAAGTTGTGTTTTAAGAAAGAATTTTGTATTTTGTTATTATAAAAAGTTGAGTATGAATGTTTTTAAATTATAATTTATCCTTTACTAATTCAAGCTTCTGGTGTAATGAATACAACCTATGTTACTTCTGCTGCTCTGATCACATGGGGCTATCAAGATGGTGTTGTTCGCATCAAGCTTCGAAAGGATCATCCTACCATACCGTTAGTGCAAGGAAATATCCTTGATCCGGTAAGATGGCAAAATTGTGACATTTTGTGATTGTCTTGTAGAAAAAAACAAAATAATATACGAACTAAATTTGTCATTATTAAGGGGAATACGATAAAAATGTTTTAGTTATTATGTAGAAGATACAACAAAACTCTTTACTACAAAAATTACTATATACTGTACACACAAACATTTACAGTCTGAAAAAAAAACTTATTTTAAGTCACTTTGATCGTTTAGAAGCGTGAATGAGTGGATGATGACTACCTTCACCAGAGTGATGACCTGATGGCTTGTAATCGATATAGAAAGTTGTGGATGAGTACTGTGTTCACCAGTTTGATGACCTGATAGCTGGTATAAAGAGAGGATCCATCTTAGATAAAGAAGCTAGTCATGGTATCTCTCACTTGTCTGTGTGCAGTTTCTAGTATCAGTTTCTCACAGAAGTATGAAGAGTGGAAACAGTATGTTGTGAATTCATACTAGGCAGTCACCTTCAGATTATGTAGGGCTGCTTACAGATGCTCAGAGCATGAGAAGATGCAGTTTCCATCTGTTATCACGTGGTGGAGTGGGTCTCATCAATCCATAGAATGATGGCTCAACTGGTATATAAACAGTTTGATATTGAACTCCCATGGATGGTATCTTATGGGTCTCCTAAAGCAGTTTTGTTTATTGTTTTTTTAGGACTGTAGGTCTTTCAGAACAGCATTAATCATGTGGTGGAATGGGTCTCATCAATCCATAGAATGATGGCTCAACTGGTATATAAACAATTTGATATTGAACTCCCATGGATGGTATCTTATGGGTCTGTTAAAGCAGTTTTGTCTATTGTTTTTTTTAGTACCGTAGGTCTTTCAGAAGAGCATTAATCATGTGGACTCCATTTTCTGAAACTTCTGGATCAACCTCTACATGTTATACGACCCTTTGTTTGTCTGTCATATATACAGCTATGTACAATGATATCAGCAGTGTATTTATACATTTCTTATCATGACATTTCTGGATGTTGTGCAAAATATGCCAACCCCCAGTAAAATTAAAGTGCTTTATTTGATTCCTCACATGTCACCTCTGGTATCTTTACAATTTTACCATCTTAAATCTTATAATCGTGGTGCTATAATATTCTAAAGCGAGGTGTTTTATGTATGAAATTATATTATCACCCTGTATGTGTGACCATATAAGGTATATCAAAATTTTACCTTTAAACAATGATTAACATATCTATGCAAGACAGTATGGTGGTTGATAGATTGTGAACAACTGTATACCTATTATTATTATTATTATATTGCAGGTTGGTAAGCCATGGTTACAAAAGTGTATGTATGTATAGTTTTGTAATAGTGTTATTTCTTTCTTTCTTCAGATTTAATGGAAAGTCTTTAAGGTTTGAATGAAATGTTTGTGTAAAAGAAAGTTTTGATATATTTGTTTACTGTAAGAACCACTAATTTAGTAATATCTTTCTTTTCAGAGTGCATTTGCAGAGGTTCAGGGCTTGAAGTGGGGAAGTTATGTTGGTTCTTTATGTGAAACCGAGCCTAATCTCATCTGGAGAAGATCTCATCCGGCTCCTCTTGGTTGCTTGCTGCCTCTTGTCACCAATGACGTTTTTGGTTTGGCTCTCAATACCTGTTTGATGCTGAGCTACAAAAAAGAAAAAGGTGAATCAAAGAATATCACTAAATAGTTGATTAAGTTATTTGAAGGTGGAATATTTAGGTCATCAGTGGATTCTGTTAGAAAGTTGTATTTAATATCCAACAGATTTTACTCTACTTACTTTTATAACTAAATATTTGATTAAGTTATTTGAAGGTGGAATATTTAGGTCATCAGTGGATTCTGTTACAAAGTTGTATTTAATTTCTAACAGATTTTACTTTACTTACTTTTATAACTAAATATTTGATTAAGTTATTTGAAGGTGGAATATTTAGGTCATCAGTGGATTCTGTTAGAAAGTTGTATTTAATTTCTAACAGATTTTACTCTACTTACTTTTATAACTAAATAGTTGATTAAGTTATTTGAAGGTGGAATATTTAGGTCATCAGTGGATTCTGTTAGAAAGTTGTATTTAATTTCTAACAGATTTTACTCTACTTACTTTTATAACTAAATAGTTGATTAAGTTATTTGAAGGTGGAATATTTAGGTTATCAGTGGATTCTGTTACAAAGTTGTATTTAATTTTTAACAGATTTTACTCTACTTACTTTTATAACTAAGTAGTTGATTAAGTTATTTGAAGGTGGAATATTTAGGTCATCAGTTGATTCTGTTACAAAGTTGTATTTAATTTTTAACAGATTTTACTCTACTTACTTTTATAACTTTATTTTATTTAAAAAATTATTCATCAAACCCAGTTTTTACTTTATACATGCATTACCAGCTGTCAGGTCATCACTCTGGTGAAGACAGTCATCATCCACTACTTTATACATGCATTACTAGCCATCAGGTCATCACTCTGGTGAAGACACTCATCATCCATTACTTTATATATGCATTACAAGCCATCAGGTCATCACTCTGGTGAAGACGGTCATCATCCACTACTTTATACATGCATTACCAGCTGACAGGTCATCACTCTGGTGAAGACAGTCATCATCCACTACTTTATATATGTATTACTAGCCATCAGGTCATCACTCTGGTGAAGACAGTCATCATCCACTACTTTATATATGTATTACTAGCTGTCAGGTCATCACTCTGGTGAAGACAGTCATCATCCACTACTTTATACATGCATTACCAGCTGTCAGGTCATCACTCTGGTGAAGACAGTCATCATCC